CCTGAGGTGTGTGTTTCAAGTTAGTTGTTATTTTATATATATATATATTTTTTATATTTGTTTAATTTATTTATTTTTAGTATTTAGTATTTATTTTATATTTTTATTATATAATATATTTTTATTTTAATGATTTTAGATGAAGAATATTTTTCTTGCTCGTCAGATGAGTTTATGAGTATCTCTAGTAGCAGCAACACCTCGACTTCAGACTCAGAACCACTTGAAGTCAAGTTGCCGAAAATATTTAATAATTCGAATCTCCTTTCCTTGGTGCATATTAACGCGCAGAGCTTAGTTGCTCACTACTCCGATCTTCTCACATCCTTTAGCACCGGCGTGGTTGACGGAATTCTGGTGTCTGAAACCTGGTTAAAACCGTCAATTTCATCCACCAGTTGTGCTCTGCCAGGCTACCAGCTCTTCCGTAACGACCGCACTGATCAGGGTGGGGGTGGCGTTGGTATTTACCTTCGCAGTGACATTCCTGCCCGAGTAGTTTCTCTTTCCTCCTCACAAATAAATGGATTTTTAGAATATCTTTTCCTGGAGATAGTTTCACACCAAAAGAAGATCCTGCTGGGTGTATTATATAGTCCAAATGATAAAATAAATTATTTTGACACGCTAGAAGGTGTTCTGGAAAATCTTGTCCCTATGTATGACCATATCGTATGCATGGGTGACTTAAACACCTGTTTACTAAAGAACGACACTAGGGCACATAAATTAAATACGATTACTTCTTCACTTAATTTAAACATTCTCCCTATGTCCTCTGCGACACACTATTTTCCGAACAGTAGACCAACCCTAATAGATGTAATTGCTGTCTCTAACCCTAATTTTGTTTCCTCCCACGGTCAAATGACTGCTCCATTCTCATACCATGACTTAATTTTCCTCACTTACAATGTGCGTCCTAAAAAGGTTAGAGGCAAAATTTGTCTTCTACGCGATTTTAAGCATATGGACCTGGATCGTTTGAGAGAGGACGTGAAAAGTATTGACTGGTCGTCACTATACTCAGCTAATGATATTAATGCCATGGTTGAACTACTAACTACTGAGCTGATTCGACTATTTGATAAACATGCACCCGCTCGACCAGTCCGGATGAAACACGCACCTGCTCCCTGGTTAACGCCAGTGATCAGAAGAACTATGGCTAAACGTGACAGAGCAAAGTCTAGAAACAAAAAACTACCATCTCAGGACAACCTTAACGAATACAAAAAACTTCGTAACATCTGCAACAGAATGTGTAGGGACGCTAAACGCCGCTATATTCATAGTAGACTTCAGAATGCTTCCCAAGCGCAAGTTTGGGGATTCTTACGGTCATTAGGTGTGGGCAAAACCACGGATAGCTTTCAAGCTACCGTGGACCTCAATGAACTAAATCAGCATTTCATCATGCCACCCATAACTTTAGATCCTGACACTAAATCTGCTACACTCTCTTATTTATCTAATCTTGTCCCACCAGACCTGCCCCCTTTCACTTTTGAACCAGTCTCGGAGGATACTGTTAGGAGGAATGTCCAATCTATCTCCACAAAAGCCATCGGTAGCGATAATCTCAGCCTGGACATGATACTTCCTGTGCTGGAGGATGTTGCACCTGTGATCACTCACATTATTAATTTTTCACTTTCGTGCAATATCTTCCCAACACTTTGGAAGAACGCCTACGTCATTCCGCTACCGAAGTCCCCTAATCCTTCCTCTCTTTCTCACTTCCGTCCCATATCGATACTGCCTATCCTTTCAAAAGTCCTTGAGTCTGTGGCTCATAAACAACTCTACTCCTACCTTACCACCAACAACCTCCTGTGTCCTTTCCAATCCGGTTTCCGTCCCTCTCACAGCACTGTTGGAGCACTGCTGAATATAACTGAGGACATTCGGTATGCTATGGATACCACCAAAGTTACTGTAATTGTTCTGTTAGACTTCAGCAGTGCTTTTAACTCTGTAGATTTTGACATTCTTCTTGGTACCCTTCGAGCGGTTAATATCTCTTCCTCTGCCATTGATTGGTTTCACTCTTATCTTTTCGGTCGCCGGCAGTGCGTGAAAACTGTAGATTCATCGTCTGATTGGTCTAACTTATCTGCCGGTGTTCCTCAAGGCGGCGTACTCTCTCCACTTCTCTTTTCTGTTTTCATTAACAATATTTCCCGTGTCATTTCTTCTCCCTTTCATCTGTATGCAGATGACTTACAGTTGTATCGTCATTGTCAGTTGAGTGAGTTGTCTGAGACTGTTGACAGATTAAACGAAGACCTTTCGGCTGTTCAGTTATGGGCCAAATCTTTTGGTTTACTGGTGAACCCTGTCAAATCTCAAGCAATGATCATAGGTAGCAGCAGGCTAAGAAGTAAAATTGACTGGCCATCTGTGCCCTGCATCAAGTATGCTGGGGTTCCAATAGCCTATCGTGAAAGTGTCAAAAACTTGGGTCTGATCATTGACTGCAACATGTCTTGGACTTCTCATCTCAACGATGTTAGTAAGCGTATGCATTTCACGTTTCACTCTCTCAAACGTCTCCAATATTTTCTCCCTTTCAACACCAAAATTATGCTCGCTCAATCTCTTCTTCTCCCTATTCTCGACTACGCTGATGTTTGCTTTCTGGATGTGACACAAGAGCAGCTTAATAAGTTAGAGCGCTTACAAAATCTAGCTATTCGTTTTATTTTCGGGCTACGTAAGTTCGACCATGTTTCCTTCTTCCGCGCTCAACTTAAATGGCTGCCTATTCGATTTCGCCGTGATATGCACATCCTTTCGGTCCTATTCAATATTCTTACAAACCCTAATACTCCTGAATACCTCAGCTCCCGCCTTAACCTGCTTCCTCCTTCGACCCGCTCCAGGCGTTCTTGCGTCACTACGATGCTTGACGTGCCTCGGAGTAACAGCAAATTTCGACTTCGGTCGTTCACAGTACGAGCTCCGCTGCTATGGAACAAACTTCCAAAATTCATACAGGATAGTACCACTATTGATATTTTCAAAAAACGTTTAAGACAGCATTTCCTGGCCCAAGTTTACCCTTACTCATAAACTGATCTCTTCATATATGTATTTATGTATTACATTGTTTTGTACGTATATATGTATATGTTGATATGTATTTATTTATGTATATATGTGTATGTATGTGTATGTATGTTTATTTATATAAATATTATTTTATAATGTATGTAAGTATATAAAGAGTAGTCTGCACTAAATCGCCCGCTATATGACTTTTATCACTCACCTCCATAGGTTGACTGGAAGAGATCTCTTTTAGAGATAAGTCCGCCTTTGTATGTTTTCTTTTCTATTATGTTATTTTCTGTCTCTTTTTTTTTGTGCAATAAAGGATATATATATAAATTTAATTAAGTTGTTAATGGCGATATTAAATATAATCAGGAAAAAATATGGGAATGGCAGCACCTGTACGGATGATCCCGACCCCTTACGGGTAAATGTCGTTTGGGGGTGAGACATTTCGCTTGTAACTAATTATATCATAGAATTAAACTTCTATCAATTCGATAAATAAAAGGCTAATACTTAAATGAACAAAATTTTAAAAATCATCTATGTATTAATTGCCATTTAACGATTATACTGATAAAAGTGCAGCATTTATTCGATTAGATACATCATAAAAGACTTAGATTATTTTCTAAAAAGCTAATACTCCTATTCTACTAGACCAATATTGAAGAAACATGTCTAAGAACTATCTCAAGTAAACTGGCATTTAAATGAAAAAAGCATATTGATGGCGGTTGATTTGTTTAAAATCTACATCCACAAACAAATAAACAAACATCGACATCAAACATATAACAACTCTCTTTTGCATGGGTGTTTAAAGATAACATTTTATGTCGTTTATGTAAACTATTCATATTTTCATGTCTGTTTTAATGAGCAAATGTGCATTTATTTATTTGTTTTATAAATTATACAGATATGTGTATCAAAATAGAATATTTTTCATGATTACAGGTAGTAAGAAAGTATTTACTCGTAATTACAATATTTACACACTTTTAAAGAAGCAAAGTCATATTATAGCGCTTTTGATATTTATTGAGCGGTGGGTGAAAATGGCTGTAGGCGTTGCAATGAATCGTCACGGCATGCCAGTTATTAATACAATAACCATTTAAGGCAACATCTAATAAAACTCTTACAGGAGGTACTGATTAAAGAACAATTTTAGTTCTATATTTATCGAATATAAATATTTCATGAAAAATTCATTTCTAATAAAAAATCTATAATGTCGCGAAAAAAGAAACGATCTAATATTTTTCATAATAGCATTTATAGGTTCTGTGATAAATTGTCCTGTGTGTATGTGTGTGTGTCTGTAAAAAGTAACTTCGATACCCCTGTGGAAAATAAAAATATATTTTTTACCGCTTTAAAAAAAACTGATAAAATATGACAGAATATTGAAGTGACCAGCACAGTAATTTTTTGCAATTTTTTATGTATAATATATACCAACTTTATACTGGGATGACTTGCAGGCTTACTAAATTGCACGTATGAGGTAGGTAGGTTAAGAGCTGAAACGTGATTTGGCTTAACTAAAATGTTGACTTTAAACAATATTAAAAGGTTTCTCTCAAGCGAAATCTTTACCTTTTTGTAGAACGAAGTAAAAGGCGTTTATAACATTTATATTACTATTTTTGTTTTTTTATTAGAAAAATTTATTACCTTTTTTACTAGAAAAATTAATAACCTTCAAAATTTTAATTTATTTCTCAACCCTTATAGTCGGGCTGCTAAAATTATTTAAATTTATTATCTTAATTTTAGTAATCGACACTAATAGGCAACCTTATTGCCGTACTACTTAGTTTTATTATACAAATTTTACAAGAGATTTTACAAGAGTGTTCGTTTCCCAAAATGTTCGCGCCATTCTTGAAGACATGACGTTATAATAACCGTCTTGCGCTGGCGTGAAGTCATTAAGACTCTTGCAATGCTCGTATTGCAGCGACTGTCATATGCAGTTTGCATTCTACCGTCTTATACCCGCAAGCTCCTTCAGAAGCTGCTTTGATATAATTAGATTGCTTCTGTAAAGAAAATTTAACTTTAACTTATTTCGAATGCATATTTTTCACAAAATTTAAATATAAAATGTCAGGTTGTATGATACAAAATGGTTTAATTTTACGGTACGCTCTTAAAACGTGAATAGGATTTCAGCAACTTGATTTTCTTGTCATGTTATCTGCTAGTTATAATCAGTAGCTCTAAAATTTCTTTTTTTTTTCAGAATCAATGTATAAAATATTTGTTCGTGTTTTGTTTTCTAACGTTTAATTTGATTTATGACGCCTATTTTTCTTTGTTTGGCATCTTAAAACAACCGGAGGTGCCTTTAGAAGGTGTTACAGTTTGTTGCACCCAGGTTATAGTTTCAAAACACTAATGAATTATTACATTATACATTTTAATTCTGAATTGCAGTATAAGTTCAAAATTGCTTTTATATTAAAAGCATCATATTATACAAGATCTTCTATTCTATTCTGTGAAATGCGGATTAAGTTCTATAGCAAATTCTTTTCGTTTTGATGACAAGTTATAGAGTTTTGATTACATATTATGTTATCTTAATATTCAAACTATTGAAGATTTATTTTCTTTAAGCTCTGAATTAAAATATCATGTACAAAGTATTGAATATTTAAGTTATAATCAAAGAACTTGTTTGATAAAAATATTCCCAACTATTACTATTTAGCATTAATGTTTTGGATAAAAAGTTTATATGATGTATCGTGATGTATGTAGTATGTAGGTGTAATAAATTAAATTCCAAAAGAAAAATTTATGTAAAAGTATAAATGAGCAGAAACCTCGTTACGGAAAAGAAATGGCTTTTCCAAGACTCGAGCTTTCTAATGATAATAAATGAAGGCTTCTTGTAAACAGTATTCGATTAACTTGAGAGTATAAGATGCCGATATATGTATATGTTTTTTGGAATAAAATACTTATTTTTTTTTAGAAATTTGAGCAAAATTCAACCTAAAGTTGATTTGACCTCAATTTTTCAATAAAATAAAAAAGATTCGTTCACCAATTAAGAGATTTAAAATATTATCTCCTAATATACTATTCTCATAAGAGTTGACTCACTGAGAATTCAGCCTTATTAATAATAAGAGTGTTAGTGCTAATTACTTCATTAAAAACTAACGTCTAACGAGGTTTACATCCCCATGTTTGTAATTTCAATTAAAAATTCCTAAAACTTTTGAAATTTAACTCATTACATTAAAAAATCTAACAGTCAACAACGAGAAATTGTTTAATAGTTTTACCTGACTTTATAAAACGAAAGGGAAATTTTGGATCACAAAAATGTTAAATAATATTTTAAAGTCAATGTTAGCGACAGAATATACTTTTTTTCTGTATATATTTACATAATAATAAAAAGCAATCTTCTCAGAACTCAATTATATATAACATAGATAATATGCTTTTATTTGGACTGCCATACGTAGAAATTTTGTCGCTTAATCTATTTCGCAACGGGGAGCTACAAAAATCGCTTAATTTCAATAATGTAAATCAACAAGTTAAGTTAAAATATTACATAAACTATGATTTTGAATATTGCTGTCATTACTGTTATTCATAAAATATCAAACAGAAATGTATTAATATACTACAGTGTCAAACGTGACCTTTCATACAGGGACGTTGAACAAAAATAGATCGATACGAAAAGTTTCACATAACACATTTTACTACGGTCAACTTTACAATTAATAATTAAAATGGAACAGAGATTAATCTTGAAGGCATTTCTACAGTAATATCCTTAAAAAAGGGTTATCACGTCGTTACATCAGCGCTTATTTTGTGCGCTGTCAGACGTTATAACTTTTTCATTGTTTTACTTGAGCCCAATGATTATACATATTAATGTCACATTACATTTGTACAAATATGAACTTTAAAAAAAGACGGAGTTATATTTTAAAGGCACCAATATACATACAATGCTTTTATTTCTTTGCCTATATATAAATAATATTTATTTGCAATACTAAAGCATAGGATACGGAAACAGGGGTCTTGCGAAAGTTTGACCACTATCACTAGTCGTCCGGTTTAAAGCGGGCTAAAGATTATTAAAATGAATACGTATGACCTAAAATGACAAACACGTGACTGCAAAGAAGCTTCATTAATTTGTTAATACATTTTTAAGCGGTGGGGATTATATAATTGGAGAAGTAATTAAAAATATATTAAGAGTATTAAACTAGAAGGTGGGTCATATAGAAAAATATTAATAAAATATTTATTTTATTTAAATCAATAGGTATAATTTACAAAATAATTAAAGTAATAACAATTATTCTATTTATAAATAGGTTTTTCTAGATTTTACTGACTGAGATACAGAATGCTATGACGTAATCACGGTTATACTTAACTAATTACATTTTCGTTTCTAGCCATTAAATCGTATCGTGCTTTAGAATCTCGAATAACAAAGAGACTTGGCTCGAAACAATTTGGCATGTAGTTATATCCCCTTAAAGTATAATGTTTGAGAAGCCATGCAAGTCCACTTTTCATTTGAATCATTGCAAATCTTGCTCCTGAAATTAAACCAATTTTTTTTAAAGTCTTGTTTTAAGAATTATAACTTCAATATTTTCCCTTCACTCTTATATTTTAGTATGCAACTTACCTATACACATCCGATTTCCTTCACCAAATGGCATGTAACAATATTTAGCCATATTCATACGATTTTGGGGTGAGAATCTTTCGGGATCGAACTTGTCTGGATTAGGGAAATACCTTGGATCTCGATGTATTCCATAAATAGGAACAACCACTATACCACCCTTATCTATTTTTACATTATTGGATAAAAACGTGTCATTAGCACATACTCGTTGCATTAATCCAATTGGAGGATATTTTCTTAAAGATTCGCTTATAACCATTTCCAAATATTTCAAATTTATAATATCCTTAAACGAAATGCATCCGTCACAATTATCAAATACATAATCAATTTCATCATGGACCTTTTTTAATATTTCAGAGTTATTTGACAACTCTAATAATGTAAAGTGCATTGAGTTTGCAACTGTGTCAACTCCGGCAAAAAAGAGAGAGTATGCTTGAGCTCCTAAAAATTCTGGAGTAACTTTTAACTTGTATTGGGTAAGGTTGTCTTTTATAATGCCTTCATTTTCCATCTCCATGCATGTATCGATAAAATCATGGCATTTTTCCTTCATATTTCTCCGATACTTCAAAATATTTTTGATCGCATCCACTACAACATCTTTTTGGGCACCGAAGACTTTAAGATTAAAAAAGTTGTGTAGTTTAGGAAATATATTTGCAAGTGCTAATTTAAAATTGAATGATGCAAACGAATCTGCAACATTCCAAATAATATCTACGTATGGCGACTCTATGAGGTTTTTGGTATTCGGATTGATTCCAAACACTGATGCACTGATCGACGCTGACGTGAATTTATGTAATGCTTCATAAGGTTTGTCTTTCATATAAGGATTCCTTTTAATATATTTGACGAAATCTGATGAAGATCGTTCTAAGATATTGTACATATTTTTCAACTTCTTTGATGTAAAAGTTGGGGAAATTTTCTGCCTTATAAGCCTCCACTTTGTGTAGTTATCGATTAGCAACAAATTTTGTGCTAAATCATCTTTAGGATTTGTCTTGAACCCACGGCTATGAAAAGTTTGAAAATCACTTTGCAGCACTGTTTTAATATCTTCTGGATTTTTTATTATAAGCACTGGTTTAAGCCCGACGAAAGTTCCAACAAAGTTTTCGGTTTCAAAGAGATCATACATATTTTTATAAAACTCACATAGCGAATATTTTCCGAAAATAAAATGCCACGTATTTTGATTTACTTGCACAACGTTTCGTTTCTTCCAGTAATTTAACTTCTCGGTTTTGTAATAATATCCGAATAAAATTAAAAACATTACTAATAATGCATAGAAAACCATTTTAAACACTTATTGCATGAAGCTATCAATAACGGAATACTAACGATAATAAATCAAGTCAATCTCAAATATAAACGTGGTTAACCTTAATAGTATCTTTGTATTTTGGTGCTATAATTGAGGGCAATTAATTATTACTTTTTAATGACTGTATTCATTATGATACTTATTTTTTTAATTTTAAAATGGAATTTCTAATGTATTTCTAAGACGTATACACACATTTTCTAAGTAGGTGTAAAACATTAATTAAAAACTTATTAATATAATTATTGATATATAATTAATGAGAATTCAGCTCAGTGGGCTCTTTTGTAAGAAGTTTTGCAAATTGCGATTTTGTAGCCCTATAATATATTAATGTCAGTAAATAAATCTGCAATGTAACTAATTTTATTATGAAAATTTAAGTACAACTGCTTTCTTTTTACATGCAACAAGCGTTTGCATGCGTTTCCATGCAAGTTTGTCAACTAAGGAACCGCAAAACAGGTTTTAATGATACTACTGGATAGTTATGAACTTTATTATGTCATATTTCTAAGTAAAACTATTCATTAATTCAATTTAATTTTAATAGCATCTGAACATGGTTAATACATCTTAATTTCAAAACAATTTTAAGCTCCTGCGGTCCGTAAAGCAAGGTAACTGCTGGAAACCGACAAGAAACACCGCTTAGCCTAACTTCTCCGAGCATCTCATTAAAACTTTTTCAGAGTGTTGGCAAAACAAATCCATTTAGCGAATTTTTTTACAGTAACAAGTATCTCTGACCTCTCTTAATTAATCTTTTAAACGTTTTGTATTACGTAAAAGGATTTTAATCTTGTAACTGTCTCAAGTTTTATTTTGTAAAATTTGCGTTACGATATCCCAAAAATAAAAGATTTAATATTAACCATATGAAATCATTAAAAGGAAATCGGACATTTTATTTTAAAATAATATAGTTAGTATAATTATACAATAATTTAGTGGATTCTTTAAATTAAAAATTAAGAAAAAAACTCTTTCTTTGGCACAGATATGTAAAAAAAATAAAACTTTATGAAAATGATACATCTGGCGTTGTTTTTATGGAAACGTTTAAATATTTAAACTGCATTTCTTTTTTATTTTAATGGGACGGGTCAACGATCATTATCTCAGGAAAGCCGATGCCGTGAAAGAATTAAACTATACTGTGTTAAGCGAAAATACTGCTCGAAAAAACCTTTTGGATTGACGTTTACAATGTGTGTCAAATAAAAATGTTTTTAATTTAACTAAATAAATTGCGGTCTAAATATATAGAGTATTTAGTATTTAAATTTAAGGCCAATTCGTTTTTAATGGAATTACCTAAAAAAATATTAACAAAACTTTATACAACATTGTATAATAGAATTTTAACTTACTGCACACACATCCTAGACTTTCACTTTAAATTCGTTTCTTTTATTCACTCAAAACCGCAAAGTAATCGAACAATCTGTTAAGAAACAAATATTTTTTATTTTTTTTTATGTGAAAGGTGGCAAACGAGCAGACGGCCCACTTGATGGAAGGTGGTTACCGTCGCCCATGGACATCCGCAACATTTTGTTGCGGATGCATTGCCAACCTTGTTTTTTGGGGGTAGGGAGGGGTGGGAATAAGGAAATGAAAGGAAAGGGTAGGAATAGGGAAAGGGCAACCGGCTCTCTCACTCATCAGACGAAACGCAGCCTTAAAGGCTACTTCACGCCGATCTTCTGTGAGAGGGTGGTACTTCCCCGGTCGAGCCAGCCCATGTTCGAGCTGTAGTAACTCACCTCAGCTAGGCTCTACCACCTAAAACAATAAGATAAATAAATTGAAAGAATATTTATTTCTATGCGTTTTGTAGAGGTGTGATCTCTAATAAAGTCCAATTATTAATTTAAAATGAGTGGCTTATTTTTGTTTGATATTAAATATTAAAGTTGACTATTAGATATTTTAATAGAACCAGAAGTAAAGGTTATAAAAGAGACATTTCCTCTTTTTGTGAGTAATGGAGTGTAGCTTATATAAATAATTTAAATTTAAATAATAATGATAATAACATCAATTATATAAAGGGCCATAGCCCCTTGCGCAATAGTGTCACCCCGAAATATTCCTGACTAACTAATCATCTGAAAGAGAAGGCTTCCTTTTATAAATACACCTGCCTGATAAATTACTATATCCTCTCTTATATTTTAAAGAACTGTATATTTCGACCCCCGTTTTTTTAATAGCCTTTTAAAAACCATGTAGTAATAAAAATCGTACTTATTTAAAATTTTCTGAACCTTATTCATACGAATTTATACTCGAAATTAGCTACTTTTTTACGAGAAGATCGTAGTTTAACAAAATTTATTAGTGGTTAATTACAGGAACTGCTGATTACGCATGAATTCCCAGAGGAACTGAAACCAATTGAGAATAACGAGCTTTTCTAACTACTGAGTTAACTAGTAATTCAGCCTATCGACTGAATATCTTAACGAGCTCGTGGGAATTCTATTAAAACCTGTGATAATGAAATATGTGTAATCGTTGAACGAAATCAAAGATTTTAAAGATCTTCGCAGTCTCAATGTTTTCATAATAATTATTGAGATAGTGTATGTATGTACACAGATTATTATTTTTTGTTGAGTAGCATACCTTTAATCGATTTATTTCTTTTGCAATTATTGGACGATTTTAAACTGTTTAATTCTAAAGCAAAATAACAACTTTGATAAGATCATTTAAATAAAGGAGAAAAACAGTCGAACTATAAATAAAAGTAGAATATAATAGAAGGGAAATAACCGAACTAACATCATTAAGATGGATGAAATGTGAGATCACCAAAATCATTAGGCTGGATAGTTTAAGAAAATAATTTAAAGAAGAGAATTAAACCTTTCACAGTGCTAAAGACACTTCAACAATGTACCTAATTTATAAAAAAAAATATTAATGATTCCGACCCTTTTTATAAAAAAAATATAGGATCTAAAAAAAATATTATAATATTGAAATGATTAATATCATAACTTTATTGTATTGGTACAGAGCTATTAGCAAGTGTGACAGCTCTGACTTGTTTGTATTTATCGTATTTAACTTAATTGCGAACTGTTATTTTACTAATTATAATTTATAATTTTTGTTTCTAATGAACTATTTATTAATTATTATTTCTTTATATGCACTTGCAGATAAGAAGTGGAAGGAAAATATTTCACTTCTAATTATTTCTTTAAAACAGACTTGTTTGTGCTCTGTATTGAGTTCTATTACTTAAATGCCCCGGCATACGATGAAGCGTTCCGCAAACGCTACAAGAGCCGCTTTTGATATTGCCGTTTAGGTCAATGAGAAGTAAGTGATTAATAATTGCAATGATTTTTCATCAACTCCGCCAATAGCCAAAGTAGATACTAGTAAAGTATTTAAATTTCATAGATATTTCTTTCTCAATTAGTTTTTGGTGCAAAAATCACACTGCACCCTTACTTATTGTAATAAAAATTAATGTATATAACTATATAACAACCAATAACGTATATTTTCATAGCTAACTACTACTTTGCTTTTGGCGTGTTAAGATTAGCAGATATTAGAGTTTAGAATTCTTAGTTAAGAGAAAATTAGAGAAAATGTTATAAAATATTCAACAAATAATATTAATTTTGCGAATTGCAAATTGCGAATGCAGCCAATTTTCATGATGGGATATTGTGGAGTCAATGGGCTTATTTTTCTTATTTTTGGAACTAGATATAATTTTTTATTCGTTACGACATAACAGACAGTCAGAATATGACTTTGAACTTATTTTTTTATTTTTAATACGGATTAACGAAGGGCAGACCAGGTCAGCTGTCTTCACATCACAGCAGCACAAATAAAGGTTCACTAGGAATATGGCGACCATATATTACTATTAAAATTAACACCTACTTGGTTATGATAATATCTTAGACTTTTGCAAGTATTCATAAATTAAACTTATATTTTCGGAATAACTACTCGTTTTTTTTAGTTTAAAGTACAAACTGCGGTTGAAAATTTGATGAAAATATTTCATCTCATCTGCCCGTGATCACTGTTGCTGCATAGTAAAGAAAAAAAAGAGTGGTACTACCAGATTTTTATATGAAATGTGTCACCTACTTTATTATGTGTGTCTTTAGCAAAACGTGAGCTTAATTATCATTAAGTAATATTATTTTAATCAACTTAATTTTAATAATAATTGGTTATAAAGTAATGGATAAAATTGTAACAGATAAAAAAAATATGTGAGAAAAACCTCTCACCAATTGAAAACAAATTAACATCTTTTAATTTCTGAAGATTTGTAAGACAAACAAAAATATTTCCGTTTTTGGGTAATTACTTACAAAATGAAAATTGTTTATTTTATTGGGAACTAAAATAATTATACATTGTAATAGAAATGGAATAAAAAAACAGGAGCAGTCCAAGATCTGTTATTAGATATTTTATGTGGTGTTTAATTTTATAGGTGTTATAATATTTAATAAAATAATTACAAAGTTCTGAGTTTTGTCCTTAACTTCAAAATTAGACAAAAAAGAAAATAACCAAGAATAGTATAGTTAATGAATTGCTAGAGTAATTGAAGCTTATTTTGATCGAAATGTAAATTATATACCCTTACAAAAAAGTTTACGCAAAATAAAATTTAAACGGTTCCAAAACATATTTAAAGAATTTAGCGACAACACCGAATGTCATATGAAAGTAATATGAAAATGCAATCCCATAGAAATAATGCTATGGTATTTTTCCAATCACTTATCCGAGCCATACAAATTCGATCTCAA